TCACACACACACACTCACTTACTCACACAAACACACAAACACACACAACACACACTCACACACAACACACTCACACACACTCTCTCACTTGCTCACACAAACACAAACACACAAACACACACACACACACACACACAAACACACACACACACACACTATTTCCTACAGAACCAATGCGACGCAGACAAAGAAGGACGGGTACACAAACACGAGCAAACCTGTCACGTACATGCGCGGTCTTCGTGGGCCCCGCGGTCCAAAGGCCATTCCACAGCAGGTGATGATGATGACATTCAAGAGACGATAGTGTCATGCGTTTGATTGGTTTGATTGGCTTGATGGTGTGATTTGTGTGGTGTGCTGGGAGTGAAAACACCTCGTGTTCTCTCTTCCTCGCGCACGAGTGCTCATGCATACATGCGACCACCACCACCACCACCACCACCACCACCGCCACCGCCATCACCGTCATCAGGCTGTTGATCTGACACTTGACATTGGCGGAATTGCGCTGGAGCCGAAAGGGCCGCGCCTCCTCCCACCGCGCGTCCCAAAGCCGCCATCGTCATCATCGTTCGCATCGAGATCGTCGACATCATAACCGAACACACACACACACACACACACACACACACACACACACACACACACACACACACACACACACACACACACACACACACACAGGTGTGCAATTTTTTCTCTCCCTCTTCCATGTCTCTCGCTTTCTCGCTCTCTCTCTCTCTCTCTCGCCACAAGAGACGTTGTTCGCTTGCTGTTGAATGCGGCTGTGTATCCAATGAATGAACGAAGCAACAGCGGGCCAGTGCGCGTTGGCCGTGTGGTCGGAAATGCACAAACGCAAAGCCAAGGCAACGAGGCCACACACAACCACCACGCACACGCCACATGCTTTGAGTGTTCCGTACTACTCCTTCTTGCTCTTGTTCTTCTTGCTCTTCTTGTCCTTCTTTGCCTTCTTGTCCTTCTTTGCCTTCTTTGCCACAGGCTCCTCATCGACATCATCAGCACGAGCACGAGTGCTGTCACTGTCTTTGCTTGCCTTGCGTTTCGCTTCCTTCGTCGTCGTCTTCTTCTTCTTCTCAGCGTTTTCCGATTCTGGAGGGAGAAGCGCACATCCATTCACGCGCGTGAGTGATGATGGAGATTGCTGTATCGCAGCGTGCGAAAGAACATCATGTGTCCCAACACAGACAGACACACAGACACACAGACACACACACACACACACACTCACTCACTCATGACAGACAGACACACACACGCACACTCATACAGAAAGACAGACACACACACACCTTTGATCTCGGCAGTGATGGGTGTCAGGTGCTGCTGTTCAGAGAGGGAGGCGAGCTGTTGCATCAAGGTGCCGTTGTTCTTCTTCTCCTTCTTCTCCTTCTTACTCTTCTTCTCGCCATCGTCATTGCTCTCATCGGCAGCCTTGTCCTCCTTCTTGCTCTTCTTGTCCTTCTTGTCCTTCTTGTCCTTCTTGCTCTTCTTGCTCTTCTTGTCCTTCTTGGCTGCTTGCTCTGCGCTGTCTTTCTTCTTTTCCTCCTTGCTCACCGTTGCTTCCTTCTCCTTCTTATCTTTCTTTTCCTTCTTATCCTTCTTGCTCTTCTTCTTCTTCTTCTTCTCCTTCTTGCTCACCTTCTCCTCCGTGTTCTCCTGCGTACTGCTGCCTCCATTTGTCTCGGTCTTGTCACTGTCACCGGCGCCATCGCCTGCTGTTGTGGTTCCATTGTTCTTCGTCTCTCCACTTGCCTCCTGCTTGTTCTTCTTCTGCTGTTCTGCGATTGTGTTGAACAGCTCCTCTGCCAACTTGGCGTTGCGCAGGCGAAGGCTGCACCCCATGCCACAGCAGTGTGCGTGAGCGTATGTACGTGTGTATGTAAGTGTGTGGGTACGTGTGTGTGTGTGTTTGTGCGTGTGTGCGTATGTGTGTGTGTTGGCGTGTGAGAGTGAGAGAGTGTGTGTGTGTGTAAGTATGTGTGTGAGCGTGTCAGTGTGAGTGTTTGTATGTGTATATATGTGTGTAAGTGTGCGTGAGTGTATGTATGTGTCAGTGTGAGCGTTTGTATGTGTATATGTATATATGTATGTGTGTGTGTGTGTAGAAATTGCGGTGTATCCTGCACGTGCCACCGCACCACCTTTATTTATACACGCACCTGTTGGAGCACCAGCGCTGGAACTTCACGAGCTTTCTGGGCACGTTCTCGTACGCAGCCATCTGCACGTGTATGCGGGTGGGCATGTGTGTGAGAACAGCGTGGATGAGTACACGTGCCATGCATGTCACTGTGCGTGCCACAGGTGTGGCTGAGCCTCAAACGCAAGATGTTGTCTCGTGGGCAAGCTGCCTCGTGTACCACATGCCTGTGTTACACACCTGTTTCAAGTACGGCTTCAGTTCTGGCCTCGTCTTCTCGTCCTCAATCATTGCTTGCAGATTCTGCGGCGAGCAACAAAAATACAGTGCGTGGGGTGTGTGAGCACATTCATGTCAGCCAGGAGCAAGTGGGACACGGCAGTCTGCCCCCTTGACGCAGCCATGCTTGCGATTATGCGGTGATTCACACTTACCCCAAGCCATGACTGCTGCTTGACTGCGCCTTTGGATGCCTTACCGTCCTTGGCTTGATACAGTGCCCCTTGATACTTTTCAGCTTCCGAAATGCACCTGCAGAAGAAGTGTTAGTGATCGGCATGGATTTGCAGTGAGTTGGCAGCGAGTTGCGCATGAAGTGCCACTGCACACACAAGCAACGGGATGCACAACAACAGACGTTGCGCAGTCTCCCTCGCACATTCACACACACACACACATGTACACATACACACATACACACACAAGCACGCAGAGACACACACATACACACACACAAGCACGCTGTGTCGTACGAGTTGTGTGTTTTGTAGTCGTCTCCGTAGAAATCCACGCCACAATCCATGCATGACAGCACTGTGCAGTCTGGGCAGTTGTTTCGGTAGTGGCTCTCAACCTTGGGCTTCTTCACGCTCTCGCCGCAAGCGTTGCATGTGAACGTCACCATCGTGGCAGTCAACGAACAGCGAGGAGGGTGGTGGGTGGTGGTGGGTTGGTGCAAACAGCAAACACAACAACAACAACAACAACACGTGGAGTTAACTGCGCCTTGTGCTGTCGTATTTGGAACATACTTTTGTATGTCGTGTGTCGTGCCAAGATGAAGCTTGTTTGTGTTTCGCTGGTGGCGGTGCTGGTGGTTGTGGTGTTCAGTGGTGTTGGGGAAGGGTTGCTTGTGCCACCCACGGCTCCCTCGGGCCCAACGGACGTGGACCAGCTGCCATGGCCCAACGCAGTACGCACTGAGAAGTTGGTGGGGGATAGCCGGGGGGAGGGGAGGTGAGGTGAGGTGAGGACGGGTGTGATATGTAGTTGCAGAGATCGGCGTGCAATCGTGCCTGGTGGTGCTCTGTTTACTTGGCATGCACTCACAATTGAACACGTACACACACACACACACACACACACACACACACACATGCTCACACACATGCTCACACACATACACACACATACACACACACGCATACACACACACGCACACACACACACACGCACACACACACATGCACATGCGTTTCAGACATCACAGCCACTGAATGTGAAGAAACTGACTGGCCACTACAACTCCACTGGACGTCCATACACTGCGTATCTTGCCATCCTGAACAACCTGAGCAAGTTCCACTTTGGCCTCGTCCCTGATGGCTGTAAACAGCACACCACCACACAAGGTGTGTGTGTGCGTGTGTGTGTGTGTGTGTGTGTGTGTGTGTGTGTGTGTGTGTGTGTGTGTGTGTGTGTGTGTGTGTGCGTGAAGAGCGGGCATCGCCAACAGTTGGCGTCTCGATCGAGACAAACTTTTAGAGTACCTCACTTCCCTTTCCCACATGCCCCATCACTGCATACAAAACCAGACTCTGCACAGAAGCTTGACTGCGTGTATGCGACCAACGGCGGGTTCTTCGCCTTTACACCGCCGGCCTGCGAGGTTTGTCACATCACATCTATGCGCCACCAATTGTCCGACATGGTGGTATCGCTGGCTTCAGTCGCGCGCGCAGCATGGATTGCGCCTGGTACCAGGTCGTTTGGCGCCTTTCATCGACCCCCATCAGCGTTCATTCACCTCACATTTGTTGATGCTGTGCACAGGGGAACATCATCATCGACTCCAAGACGATACAGCTGCCCGCCACAGGCAACTGCGTGTTTGGTCTCACCGAGAACAAGCGAACTGTGGTTGGCTTTGTTGATGGTCCAGACATTGCCAAGTTCCGGTCAGCTCAACCACGAGTACAGAGAGAGGAGAGGAGCTGTGTTCCGTGTTATGCGTGCATACATGTGTGTGTGTGCATGTGTGTGGGCATGTGTGTGTGTGTGCATGTGCATGTGTGTGTGTGCATGTGTGTGTGTGTGTGTGTGTGGCATTTTGTCGGCCGTCTACTATGTTCTTCTCTGCATCACCGCACCGCCCTTCATTCGCATATTCACACACAAACACACACATACGCACACAAACCAAACACCAAACAGGTTCACGCAGCTCCTGTCTGGGAGTGGGTGGCTGGTGCGCAAGGGAAAGAGTTACGTGAACAAATCGCGTGACATCTCGCCAACATCTGGTTTCGTCACGGAGAAGGCGCCACGCACAGCCGTTGGCGTTCGCGCCGATGGCACACTCATCTCTCTTGTTGTGGACGGGGTGGAGGCGACGAAGCAGGGGCCCGACCTGTTTGAGCTTGCGGAGCTGCTGGTGGCGGTTGGCGCATATGAGGCCATGAATCTCGATGGCGGCGGCTCAACGACGGCCGTGTACCACGGCCAGGTGTTCAACGTGCCCACGTGCCATGACACGCCGACACCCGTCTGCCAGCGTGATGTGACCACCATCACTTGCATCAAGCCGTGATGCCCAGTGTGTGTGTGTTTG